CTAAATTTCTAAAAGCAAGGTATCTATATAAGAAAAATTAAAAGCATAAACAAAGAATTAAGTTAAAAAAAGTATTATGTAGAAAAAAAATGTGGCCTTTAGCAAAGAGAGGTCTGGCTTTGGCCTTGGCTCCTAGGAGATAATCTATCACCCAGCCGAGTGACAAGGACCTCTTTGGCAAAGGCAGGGGCTGTCAAACCCAAGAGTGTTAGGTAGGGGCCTGCCCATGTCAGAAAGACCAAGCCTGTGATTTCAATTTAGGGTGAGGTCTCTGGATCACAGGGTGTCAGTCACCCTGGAAGCTAAGATCAACCATGTGGACAAGCCATGAGCCACTCAGGCCCATGTAACACCCTGAACATCAAGGCCAGCTTCCTGGCTGGCATACCTCTCTGCCAGGAGGGTAAAATGGCCTGAGTACAACGGAAGCGTCACTTTTAGAACCATCCGGGCTCTGCCCTATGTGTCTCTTCCTTTGGCTGTTTTGACCTGTATCCTTTCCCTGTAAATAAACCATAATTGTGAATATAATGGCTCTCCAGTGAGTTCCGTGAGTCTTTTAGCTAATCAGAACGGAACTCCCAGAACTTGCAGTCGGTATCAGAAGGCTTTATCAGCTTGGCAGTTTGGATCTCACAATTTGGCTAGCTCCGGGTAAGTACAATCCAACGTTTATAAATACTACTATGTTTACAGGTATTTACATATAATATATGTGACTGGAAGTCAGCATGGCTTACATCTGGGTACTGAGAAATTATTGTTTAGGTGGTCCCTTTTTATGTTTTGCTAATTTTTTTACAACCAAAATGTATTTTGTTTATAATCAAAAGATAAATATCTTAAAAACAATTATGTAGCAAATTCATCAATCTAAAAATAATAAGAAACCAAAATTAATCTTGCTTGCTACAACCATCATTCTGGGGACCTGCAGCACATATTTTTATCTCAAGGGATAATCAAGTATTAACACCATGCATATCAATTTCTGTAATAGTTCCATAACACTTAATAAAGAACAAATAAATAACAGGGTTTCA